AGTCCGAATCGAATGAGAGCTGGATCATAATTTTCGGTGCCCTTGGACAGAAGTTACTCAGACTAATTTTACGAATTTTCGATTGGGAGGGACTTGGTCATGAAAATCTGTCACCGGCTCACAGTCTATCAGTCTGAAATTTTGAGAAACCTCATATAGAGACAAATACATATACTTTATTTTCTTGATCAGAGTATATGAAAGATGCGCAACACACAATTGACTCGCCCGGTATATATAAACAATTTTCTGTTGTAGGAATACCGGTGGTGTGGCGGGTTTGAACATATAGGAAAATGCTTCATCATTCATTCTAAGTTAGGAATCACACGTTAAAAGGTAAGACCTCGTTAGTCCTTAGCTCGCACAAGTTTCTCAACTTCTGAGAGTTGTCGTTCGTATGGGGGCGGCAGCTGATTAACGGAAAAACAGATTTTAAACAGATTTTTAAACAGAGATTCATTCTAAGTTACCTGTAATTTCTCTTCATATCTCAATTCCGTTTCTCTTATTTGCTCTTCCAGCATAAGTACCCTGGCCTGAAGGGAAGCATTATCTGCTTTGGCCCTGGTATATCTTTCATCGTTCTGGTTTGCTGTATCTTGCAGTACTCCTACTTGTTGTTGCAACACCTGGAACTAAAATGTTCGAATTAGAAGTAAGAGTGAAAAGGTACTTGGTTGGATATATACTTCATTATCATAGTGATCAGAAATATTCTGAAGTATTTCTACATCTTCGTCATCCATTGTCTAAGGCAATGCAGCAACACTTATCGGATATGTGTTTGTAAATAAATAAAGATTAAAAAAATAAAAGAAGTGCTGGTACCAAATAAAAACGCCACATGAAAAACAAATTTAAAAAGTAACTTTGAGATACAGTTAAATTTAGTCGCGCTTTTCGTTGGGATATACTCGTACGAGGTCTGTTAAAAAAATAAGGTGAATGTTCAAATTTCGCGGGCTTCGTACATCCGATAAGCGATTTTTTTAATGTTGGTACACTCGTCTCGAAAATATGTTTACAGTTTCAGCTGTTTACCATGTCTAGTTTGTTGGTGAGAGTTATGAAAGTTACAAATGTTTTGCGTGTTCGGAGATTTTTGGCTATCGAATAGTGTGGATCAAAGAATTTGCATAAAATTTTGTGTAAAAATTTAAATGAAGTGCTCAAAAATACTCGAAATGTTGACAGTGACATACGGTGATTGTACTCTCGGTTAGAAAAATGTTTAAAAGTGGTACAAGCAGAAGGTTGAGAACATGTGATTGATGACGCTCGCCCTCAACGCCCTAGCACAGTGGTCGCCAACCTGTCTATCGCGAGCTACCGGTAGCTCGCGGAGGCAATTCTGGTAGCTCTCACAACGATTTTAATTTAAAAAATACAAACTGCAAAAATCAGAGAAGCTTCCGAAAATTCCACAAAAAATCTAATTGTCATAATATTTAACGTAAACAGCGGCAACGTTGCGGTGAGCGATCTGCCGCTGACGCCATCAAGCTAGAATCGGCTAGAACTGACCAGCCGGACCAGCGCGTTAGTGTTCGAGAACGATCTGGATTGCTTTGAACGGGATAAATACGCACGGCGCGGCGACATTGCGCTTAGTTTAAGACTGAACGCGTAACCAACGTCCAGCGGTTGGGTTAGTAGAGAACAACAAAAATAATATTATGGAAAGCAGTTGTAAGAAGGTAAAGACATACCACTTCCATTCGGAATGGGAAGAACAATACTTTTTTACAGAAGTTAAAGATAAAATGTGTGTTTGTTGTGTAATACTTCGATCTCCGTTTCTAAAAAAGGAAATATTGAGAGATATCATGAAACTGTACATTCTAATTTTGAAAAATCATTCCCACTACATTCTGCCGCCAGAAAGGAGAAACTGAAACAGTTAAAAAAGCAGTTAATTGGACAACAATCAATATTTTTAAGAACAGTCGACAAAAATAAGGCTGCAACTGAAGCATCGTACCGTGTGTCC